TTAGTTTACGCTCCATTTACGTCTGCAAAAACTTCTAATAATTCCTCCATAAAAATCACCAACTAAGGAAATTCAGTAATCTTCCAGGATATATAAAAGTTAGAAAACAAGCAAAAAAAAGCTGGGTCAGCTGTCAAAATGTAAACAGAATAAGGGATTAGAGGATTTCTGTGTGATCGTGTCCAAGAACTATAAAATAATATGTAAAATACCGTATTGTTAGCGCTACCCTATTAGCGTAGCGTCTGAGGCACGAGAACTTTCTTATTATATTATTATCGCACGCTCTACCTACATAGGTACGTACCTTCAATTTCCTATCTATCACCTAAATTCTACTTGTCCACTGTCAAAGTTGGCAGACGAAATTTTTTTTTCATAATTTTTCAAATTTCTTTCGGATATTTTGTTACCGCACTGTTGTAGATAAAATACGGTATATAATACGTATGGTAATTAGGTTATTTCCACCCTTAGAGATTGCAAACCTTGCCTCTTCTCTCGCGTGCGGTAATAACCTAGTTATAGTGAAATTAATTAAACAGTGTATGCACGTGATCAAAATTAATGACATAAGCACGTCGCAATGTTGCCACTATTAACTTTCGTTTTACTTTGACATACCATGTCTAGTAAAATTTGTTATCAAGCAAACAAACATCGATTTTTATATGTATAGATAGTGTATTATGAACACAATCTAAAAAAACTACTCACTTTTCGTCGTAAATTTGATTGCGAATAGAGCTAACTAACATCAAGGTGATCTTGATTCGTAACCCGCTTCTTATGTGGACGTTTTTTCTTTGGTGAATTTAACGCTAAATTATCTCTAACTTTTTGGGAGACTTTACATTGGATTTTAGTCACAGTGGTTATATCAATATTCAGTGTAGCTGCAACACGCTGGAAAAATATTCCCAATTAAAGCCCCAGAAGATTTATATTTGATAGTATCAATATACTTCACCTCTCTAACGCTATTTAATGGCAAAAAGGGCCCCCATTATCTCGTTCCTGTTCAAAGAAACTAATTAGAGACGCAATGAGTTTCTGACTCTGACTATTCAATGACTTTGGCATTTTATAGATACACAAATATTTAGAAATAATTTCAAATTATTAAAATCAGTAACCGCAGATTTGCAGCAATATTTGGCAACGTAACCCATAAGTTTCAACCTAAATGTCATTTTATCGGCCGATTCGGTTAAATGCCAACAGTGTTCTGTCTTTTTTTAACTAAGGTTAAATAAAAAGGAGAATGAGCTCTCAGCTTGAAACGAATTTTAATTTCTTACAAACTGCAATGGGCAATAATTTTAACGTCATTGATCACGTGCATACACTATTTAAATAATTTCACTATACCACACTTATTATACTTCAAAAAAAAAAACCAATCAAAGATTGCTATGATCTTTTGAACGTCTGTCTTAGCAATATTTTTCTGTAATTTTGTCAATAAACTTTAATGCCAAAATGTAATGTCAAAAGTCCTCACCAAAAAAGAAACAATAATTCGACGTACGTTTTCGTAATAAGAGCAGTCTTTGATTGTTTTTTTTTTTGAAGACCCGATATGATGTACTATTATACACCAAGTGAGTCAAATGAATGTTCATTTATGAGAAGAAAGTTTAACCCACTCGCCATAGCGAGTGGGTTAATTTTCTTCGAATGATACATACAAAATTTTATCCCATTTTGTGGAAATTTTAAAAATAAAGTACAGTGGAAATTATTGCAATTGGCACACAGTATATAAATATCCCTCGTAATGTGTCAAATCTGTAATACGAGGGATTTTAAAGAGTGTGTGCCAATTGCAATGATTTCCACTGTACAAGGAAAAATGCCGACTTTGAATTAAAAATATTTTATCCCATTTTGAGGTTTTAAAATGACATTATTGAACGCATAACAATAAAGGTAAGTAGACGTTTATCACCTCAGTGATTTAAAAACATTTTAACTCACTCTCGGCATTTTAACTCACTCTGCCCACCTAAAATTCTGAAACCTCAGTGATTTAAAATAGTTTTAACTCACTCCCGGCATTTTTCCTTGTACTTTATTTTTTAAATTTCCCTCGAAATTTCCACAAAATGGGATAAAATTTTCTATACATCACGTGAGTTAAAATGTTTATTCATTCGAAGAAAATTAGCCCACTCGCTAAGGCTCGTGGGTTAAACTTTCTTCTCATGAATAAACATTCATTTAACTCACTTGGTGTATAAATAACTATTAAATCGCTGAAGTGTCAGCTTTTTAGTTGGATAGAGTGACTTAAAATGCCGAAAGTGAGTTAACTTTTTTTTTTTAATTTTAAATTGTTATGCGTTCAATAATGTCATTTTTAAACATCAAAATGGGATAAAATATTGTTACGATAACGCTGCCGCCAGAATAACGGCATCCGCCAGGCTATCAAGAATCCTATGCATCTGCTGTTGTATATCCTAGAATCTAGCAAATTATTCTACTTTAATCGGGAAAATAAGATTAACGTGTGTATTCTAGATTTTACAGGAATATATTTAGGGATATAGAAAGGCCGCTATTGCTTTGTAGTTTAAGTTTCAGTTCGACTGTGATACGATTTAAATAGTGATTATTGTTATAAAGAGTTTAATTGTTGAGTTAGTTATTCAAGTAATTAGTGTCAGAATGTATCGTTACGTGGAATAAATTATTGCTGTGTTAATTGGACTTTGATTTTTGGAATAAACGAAACGAACCCAAGATTTCTGTCAGGCAACCCAAAGCCGTGACAATATTTTATCTACAAACGTTTAGTTATGGCGTTTTCACATGACCATATTTTTACTTTTGAGTTATGTCATGAGACTCGTAACAGAACAGTGGTGTTACGGACTAGGCTATGAATTCATAACACAACTAGTGGTGTTATAGACTATAGGTTATGAATTCATAACACAACTATTTTTGGTGATTTGACAAATGTTAAAGTTAAACCTGTGAAGGTAAAATGAAGGTAGACAACGACTAATAAACGAAAATGATTGAAGAACCATTCTCATTTTTTGCTTTGTAGATAAAACGTTGTACATCACGCGTGCGTTTAAACATGACTACAAATCTCGTGTGATAAGAACGACTTGGTCTACAACCTCGTCGTTCTAATCTCTCACACTCGTTATTGTGATCATTTTCATAAACGCACTTGTAATGTAAATAACTATCAAATCACTGAGGTGATAAACGTCTACTCACTTTTGTTATTATGCGTTCAATAATGTCTTTTTTAACCGTCAAAACAGGATAATAGTAATTTACATTACAAGTGCTTTTATGAACATGATTACAATAACGATTGTGAAAGATAAGAACGACGAGGTCGTAGACCGAGTCGTTCTAATCACACGAGTTTTGTAGTCATGTTTAAACGCACGTGTGATGTACAGTGGGAATCATTGCAATTGGCGCACACTATATAAATATCCCTCGTAATGTGTTAAATCTGACACACAGTAATAGCAAAATGCTGCACTAAATAGATTTATTGGTTAGAATTTTGACTTAATACGAGGGATTTTAAAGAGTGTGTGCCAATTGCAATGATTCCCACTGTACAACGTTGTCTACCTTCACTTCACCTTTACAGGTTTAACTTTGACATTTGTCAAATCACCTAAGATAGTTGTGTCATGAATTCATAACCTAATCTATAACACCACTAGTTGTGTTATGAATTCATACCCTAATCTATAACACCACTGTTCTGTTATGAGTCTCATGACATAACTCAAAACTAGAAAAATGGTTATGTAAAAACGTCATAATCAAACGCTTGTAGATAAAAATATATAAATTAATCTACGAAAAACCTTTTTTTCCAAGTTATGACATTGTCGATGTCATAAGTACAAACCTTCGTGAAATGAACTTTACCCATATATTCTGTGATTATATCCTACTTAAGTAGGATCATTTTCTGAATTGATGTGAATTACGGTTGATTAAATGCAAATGAAACTTTTTTTTTTGTATATATGTACACCCTAGTTGATGCGGTTTTTAATTAACGTATACATTTTGCATTTTATTAAAAGCTGCGCCTCATTGTTTTTTTTTCAATTTCATTCTCATTCATATTTCGTAAATAAGAATGCCATTTTAATGACTTGCAAGTTTGCTGAACTTGATTGCCATAGTTTTTTTGCCTTTGTGAAAGTCGTAATGGTAATATGAACGAGGAATAATGTGAACGATCTTGAAGAAATCAATATGAATATATATACCTACCTATATTTAATAATACATATCCTATAATAATACAAAAATAAAACTACCTTCATCATAAAGTCGATACCTAAGCCTAATGTAACTCTTCTGTGTGGCTAATAGAGTGATAGAATTATATCCGACCTATTACTTTTATGTGTGCCTCTGTGTAAATTTATTACGGAGAGGGATAAAAGCTGCCGTTTCAGGGCTTTTTACTGCATTTAAATGCATTATCAAAGGGTCTTGTATAGCACGATGCTTCTATACCTGATGTGATGGTTTAAAATACTTCGTGAAATCCCTTTTAAGGCGAAATGATTAGAGCAAAAGGCTTGAACCTTAATGATGATGGTTAGACTGTAGAAAATCGATGAATTATTTCAACCCGTAACCCATTCATAATTATTACACAAAACATTGCCGCTGGCTTCAACTAGCAAAATGGAAAACATTATAAATAAATAACGCTCTGGAAATGTAAATTAGATATGAGAAATCTATAAAAGCACACTAATAGGTTGTGTTGCATAGGTACCATCTTTTAATTGCCCATCCAAGCCACTGAAAGAAATCAAAAGAAATTAAAAATCTAAATTTCAAATTAATCAAAAAGTATTTTGTAATATCCCGAGAAAGTAAAATTTTAAGCTACGAGATTCCGAGTGGTGTGGTTCCTTATAAAAATCTTCGATAGTCGTTGCATCTGTATCAGTTCATCTCGCACATCCTTTTATGCGTTAGTTAGTATGTTGAGTGTAAGTATTTGATTTTATGTATTAATTTTGTGATTAGTGATGTTTCACAAAAACAAGTGCCTTGAATATTCCAAATGTTGCTGAAATATTTTACCGATTACTCCTGGAAAACTTTTTCCATGTGATTGTATTGTTTTCCTTCTTTATTTATCGGGTTTAATATTATAATTTTTTTTCGTTGGTAATAAATACTTTTTGATTAAATGAGGTATTCTGCTTACGTCACATTGACACTAAAATATCTTCAAACTTAAGATTATCCTTAAAACGAATTAAAAAAATTAATAATTTCTTTTTGTTTCAGTTAATCTCCCTTGTATTAGCCGTTACCTCGGTAGCTAATTGCGGAGTATTACATGGAGATCCACACGAAAACCTTAGCCCTCCCGCACCAGGACTTGATTTCAGTTCTGGCTACGGAGACCATGCGCCCAGCATTCCCCTAGGACCTGCTTTACAACCCATCGCTTCAGGATCTATAAACGCCGAATTTGGAGGTTCCAGTTTTGCATCCGCTGGAGCATCGTTCGGTGGAAGCTCAGCTGCAGGAGCCTCATTTGGTGAGGCATCATCAGGATCATCGTGCTGTGGAAGCTCTGGTCATTCATCTGCAGGTGCTTCATTTGGAGGTGCTTCATCAGGCTTTTCATCAGCAGGAGCATCCTTTGGTGGCTCGAGCCACGGAAGTGACTTTTCTGGATCTTCATTTGGCGGTGGAGCCATTGCAGGTGGGGCAGCTTCAGTAGAACATGTTGGAGGTGCCAGCTTCGGTGAATCACATTCATTTGGAGGCTCGTCTATTGGAGGATCTAATGGTGGTTTGAGCTTAGGTGGTCACTTCGGAGGTGCTGACTTGGGAGGTTTAACTGGAGGTTCATTTGGAGGTTCCGGCCTAGGAGGAGGTTTTGGAGATGCGGGAACTGGTAGTTTCGGTGGTGCGGGAGCTGGTGGATTTGCTGGTGCGGGAGCTGGTGGTTTCGGTGGTGCTGGTTCTGGTGGTTTTGGTGGTGGCTCAATAGGAGGTGGATCAGGATTCTTAAGCACCGATCATGATATCAGAAACCACGGTCCTTTGACTGATGGTGGTACCACTTATGACCACAAATATGAACGTGTTAGAGTGCCACAACCCGTCCCCGTTCAAGTACCAGTAAATAGACCATATCCAGTACCAGTGCCAGTGCCCAGACATGTAGATAGACCCAGGCCAGTTCAAGTAGATGTTCCATTCCCCGTACGAGTAGAAGTCAACAGGCCAGTGCCCGTGCCAGTACCACGTCACGTTCAAGTACCAATAAAGACCCCAATATACCACAATGTACCAACGCCAGTTCATGTCAAGGTACCAAAACCTTATCCAGTCGTAGTTTCCAAACCATATCCAGTCCACGTTCCAGTTAAAGTATTTGTTAAGGTACCAGTACCAGTGCACGCCGAAACAACAGCCCCACTGGGCGTGCACGCTCACGGAGGTTTGGTCACAATAAAGAAAATTGTCCATCATGGCCATGGATGGAATAACGGTTGGTAGTAAATTTCAACTGATTTGTTGATACCTGTTCTAGTCTGATCTTTTAGTTGTTATTAAGTTTTGTTTGAGAGAGTGATTAAGATTATTAGATGAATGTTAAATAATAAATACATATTTTTTTTTATAAAAAAAGTTATCTTCAGAATTATTTATTTCAAATCCCAGTCCCCCAAAACTACGAGAGTCCAGGCGAGATTTAATATGAGCCATATTATATTTTATCGTTCTCATTAGTTTGTGAACTCGAGTTGAGAAAATTTTTAGGTATTCTATCACTCATAATTTTTTTTTTCTAATATCTGATGAGAAAATATAATTGAGAGAATTTCATACATCTGTCAAAACTGGTATTCCAACAATAAATTGACATGTTTTGATTGTTGATTTGAACCAATCAGATTGTAATTAAGCGATAATTTGCACTAGTGCAAATTATCAGATAATTGCATACTAACTGGTGCGAAAACTGGTGTTTTGACATTTTTTGACAAAAAATTTAAATTTTTGATTTATGAAATTCTCTCATTAAATACAACTCGTGCAAAGGAAATATATTTATAATTTTCGACAAATTTGCACTCATGCGTTTTTAACTGAAAAAGGCACTCGTGCACTACGTGCACTCGTGCTCTTTTTCAACTATAAATGCATTCGGACAAATTTCCCAAAAATTATCAATAATTTCCATTGCACTAGTTATATTACTATTGAATATTTTCTAGAAAGAAAAGTTATCTAAAAAACACAAATACGCTGATTGTATTTGTGTCTTTCGTAGAACAACCTATTGCCATCTTGGTTAAAACGGAGTTCTTACAGAGGTCACTGGCTTCAAAAGAATATAGGCTATCAGAAATTCTCTCTAAGATTCCAAACCCATTTCATCAGAGGTGTCCATCGTGTGGCAGGGCAAAAATTACGCTGATAAAGTGAAATTTATTTTCAAATAGGTCCAGAAACGGCTAAAAACATTTTTACGGTCTATTCGAAGCGGATTTTTGTTGAGGATGAAATTACCTAACTTTTTTTTAAAATAACTTCAATACGTCTTCCGCAACAATGGAGGTAGGTAACTAAAATACCATCGATTGGGTATACGAAGTTGTTACTGGTATGAAATACTATCTAATTACAGTTTGTATCGTATTTGTGAAAAAAAGTCTCACCGCTAGTCATTTTAAACCATAACTATGAAAACTAGAAAAATATATAAAAACATAGCGAAGGTAGGTACAGGGTGTTTCCATATATTTTGTTTGACCCCTACCTACAGCGCTAGCTATACGAGGTGGCAAAAAACTTTAAATATGAAAATTTGTAGGGGTTTTATGTCTATTATCTTTTGCGGATGTCAAAATGGGCAAATGGCAGGTGCCAACTATCACAATGACAAACACTTGCATTTTTCAAATGGAATACCCTGTATATTTTTGGCTAGAATGATAGATTTTTTTCTTCTGATTCCAAATATACTTTATATGATGATATTTTGTTCAGTTGTTTTTACGCTATTCAAGTTTAAAAATGCATTTACATTACCCATAATTTAATCTGTCCTGGTTTCTTATATTTGATGAGGCTTGCTCAACGCAATTTTAAAATTAAATAGCGCAAAAACAACTGAACCAAATATCAACATATATGATATATTTGAAATCAGAAGAAAAAAAGCTATCATTCTAGCCAAAAATATACAGGGTGTTCTATTTGAAAAATGCAAATGTTTGTTATTGTGACAGTTCGCACCTGTCATTTGCCCGTTTTGACATTCGCAAAAGATAATAGACATAAAACCCTACAACTTTCGTATTTAAAGTTTTTTTCCACCTCGTATAGCTAAAGCTGTAGGTAGGGGTCAAAATATAAGCAAACAGCCTGTACATACCTGCATCATGTCTATATGTCGGTTTGTGTATTTAGATCACCCTATAGGCTGGAGATTAAATTTTAGGGTACACTCTAAAATTTACTGGGACTTTACTAAAACCAGTAAAACCATTAATTTCAATTTGGTAACCACTTAGAGGAAGTTGGAAAACGAATATTAATGGATACAATGTCTAAAGCCGGGAGGCGTATGGTGTTAGGGTTTACATTAAAAATAAAAACTAGTTTCACTTATCAGGTAGGTACCTCTTTCTCCTGAAGCCTATTGTTACAATATACGCGGAGTTTTCATATAATGTAGACGAGCTCCTGCGAACTATATTCATTTGAATTTCCCAAATGATTTTTTGTCGGAGTGGAACAATGAACAAAATTATGGAATTTCCTTTTTCAGAATTGTAGTTAAGACATTAAAATTTATTATTTTTTAATGCTTCAAAATTAATTTTTTTATTACTTAGCTGATGATTTATGTCTGAAACTATGTTTTTAAAAGAGCTGCATTTCTGTCTGTGCTATAACTTCGTCAAAACCCATTTAAAAATGGTCGTTATATTAGCGATCAAACCAAACCATCGATGACTTCTCCTACTTTCGTATTCGTTCTGTATAATTTATGGAATTTAGATTAAGAATTTAAATGTTTGAAACCATAGGACCCAATAATAATAAGTATTAGCATAAGCTTTCACTTTTAATAAAATACAATATATCTATGTAAAATGATAATTTCGTTGGTTAAAATTGTGTCTTAATCCCCATTAGTATTAGGAAAAATCTTTCCAAGGATTTCCCATCAGTACGTATTTGGTTTGCCTACAGATTCAACGAATTAACTACAAAAAAAAACTACAATTTTGGTATGATAAAATCTTTGTAATTATAAAAGAAAATTATTACGATTATTATGATTTCTTTTAAGTTTTTGGTTTTAACAGGAAAACTTGTAAAAGTACCTACTATACTTTAGCAAAATAAACTTTTTAATTTTGCTAAAGTATAGTAGTTTGTTTTCATAGAGTTTCTTCTTATAATTTAAAAAAATGTTATAAAAGAGTAAAAGAAGTGTTTCATTTGCAAACGAATAGAATTTACCAAAACAAAGTCCAAGAAACAATTTCACAGCAGTCGTCATTGCTTTGGATGATAAGTAGGTAATCCCTAGACTCTCATTTCATATTTTTTATTTTCAATTATATGTACTTCCTTACCTAATAAAGCTTGAAATAACCGAGACTTGAAGATCTTAATAACCCTCTCTATAGCCTGCCTTAACGTCTGATCTTGAGGTCGAATCAGTTTCGAATGGTAGTCCTCCAAGAGTTCGAGAGCCCGATGAGCCTCTGAAAACAAAAAATGTTTTATTCTTCCACCCAGTATATCAGGTAATAAATGTATCACATTCGAATTCCAAAAATTAAATTCCAAATTCCCATCAGTTTAATTATTAAACAAAAGGTAAATAACAATTTATGGACCAACATGATTTCCAGGTAATGAGAAATTTACATTTTACGCTAAAATTGCTTTTATGTGTATATTTTGTATGCAGATCTGCTCAAAGAGTAGTGGTAGAATTTAATTTTGATGATGAACATCGAGTAAAACATTGAGGCAGGTTTATAATTGACAATTTGATAATGAACCGTCATTGGGTTAGTTGAGTCGGTTGATAGTTATGTGAGTACCTATAGGTTTTTTTGTATAATATTCAGTACTTATACTAGTAATAAACCATAAATCGGCGCGTAATGGAGACTATTAGATATACAGGGTATCTCATTTAAAATAAGTGAGTTGACGTCTACTTCCGGTATAACCGGAAGCGCCACCATCTTGAAAATATTTTAGCCGGGTTGCCCCCATTGACATTAGTATACTGTAAAATTTTCAAAAATTTTCTGCATACAGTTTTTCATATATAGATCGATGTGGTTCCCGGTGGGACACCCTGCATATAAATAACGAACCTCTTGCGAGATTGAAATCAAATTGTAAAGCTGACTTTTTGTCTGTAGTGATGTTTATTTATATTTAACGGAAATCGTTCGTGGTATATCAGCCATATAATAGCTTTTTAAAAGTTAACGGAAAGTAAGACGACTCGAAGCTAGAACCTCTAGATCACCGGTCTAACCCTCTACCAACTGAGCTACCCAGGCCTTTGGTTCATTTCTACCCAATCGGTCAGGGTTCCTCAATCTCCAACGTTCGTGTGATACAATCGGCAACTTTCGGTTGTCACTGACGTCGGAGTGGTTAGTGTAAGGTTGAAGTTTCACATCCATTGAGGAAAACCACCTATTTAAAATATTATTCTTATATTATATTCTTCAAATCTTACTTTTTTAAAAAAAACTTTTACTGAATAAAAATAAATGTTGCAACCATGTATGTGCCCTCAAGTTTAGGATTGAACGAGCGCGCCACAGAAAAACGAAGTTACCGAAACCGAAGAGGAGAGAAGAGGATACGCAACTAGACTACAGAACGAGCTAGACTGGTCCCGTTAGAAAACATGTCGCGTGTTTGTAATTATTCATTATTCAATTTTTCATTTTTATTTTGCATTAAATTGATTGTTCAATCCAATTTATTATTAGTGTGTGTTCAAGGAGTATTCACAGGTTAGTTGATTAATTATTATTTTGTTTTTGAGAGTTCAATTTATGCAAGTTCCTATTATTTTGTTCATTTTGTTCATTTTTATGTATTTTTAGTTTGTTTATAACATTTTTTATAACATGTGCATTGTTTATGTATTTAACCAAAATCGTTTCATGCTGTAAACAACACAGATAAAGAAGTAAATTAGAACCTAAGAAATTATGTGCTGTCTTTTTGTGCTGAGATTTTGATTTTGTGGATTTAGAGCGTGCATTAGAGCCTTGTTGAATTTACTAATATTTTCCTACCCTGACGAGAGAATATCCTAACAAATTGAAATAATCAATCTAGAGATATTGGCTCAAAAACAACTATAGCTGAGTAGCTTCCCGTATGGGACCTCAGTATCCGCTGGGAAACTGGCTAACTAACCAAAAACTCTTCAGTATTGAATATAGGTAGTGTTGATTGAATCTAGTGTGTGTAATTAAAATTTTAGCACAAAG